TGGTCCTTTCTTAGTTTTCCGTTAATTTTGCCAAAATGAAAGCAAACTCAGTTGGTCTTGTAGTTGAAGAGATATCATTTTATCCCATATACTGTTCCGAATTATTCCCCGGCAGATACGGTTACTTGACTTCAGGATGTGTAGCTTCGAATACAAAAGCCAAATAATTATTGACTTTGGCAAAGTGTTGGGTATAGCTTTAGGCTTTAGGTACAGGAACGGAACAGTTGCCCTCCTCATGCCTTTGACTCAAATTCTTATTTTTCAGACTGGGAGTGCCATTTTCCATTTACGTACGAAGGAAAAACCTACGATTCCTGTACCACCGTCGGTCATGACCGTCTCTGGTGTTCTTTCACCGCGGTCTACCAGGGCAGATGGAAAAACTGTGACGTAGGTAAGTTCATGACCACACTTTCTCCTGCACTGCCCCCTGCACGCAGCTGCACGACAAGACCTTGCCACAGCTGTGTACCGCCTCGTGAGACGGCCCCTCTCCACCAGTGTTCTACTTAACGGGTCCCCAGGCAATGACATTACACTAAACAAAAGCCTTTCACATGCCTTCCACACCTACATCACTTCAACAAACCGTTTCTAGGCACTTCCAGCTGTTCCTCCTAGCCTTGTTATTGATGTGCCAATTTTCTCTTATGAGGTAGTACTGTATATATATATATTTTTTCTGGACCTCTGACCTCCAAATGCATTATTTTTATTATGTATATATATGTACTTAATTAATCAGATTGATACAGGTTAGTTTAGGTTATGATTGTTCTTGTATTTCATATTGTATTGAAATTATGTGCTTTTTGTGTTTTGTCCTTATATGTTGACTCTTTAATATCAGCTTTGCTGCCTTGAGAGTCAGTGTAATGTCCTGTTGCATTTTCAATAATTAAAATAAAATAAAATGACCACGATGAAATGGTTTTGTCCCCTTCTACATTTTGCATTTCTGGTTCTGTGTAGGACGTGGCCAGAACAACCTGTGCAAGCTTCTTCTCTCCATGTACCTTCATCCACACTTAACTCACCTGTCTTGTCCTACATGTACCCATGTAAACACAATCGAATATCTAATGTGTGTTCAGTTTTTTGCCGTTTGAATATTTTCTGTTTACTCTCAGACTAACAAAGACCTTTTAATCCGAAATAGTGCACGGCATAAAGAGACGAAAGGGTTTTGAGTGTTTGTACAGGCCGTGTATTCCGTCGATATTATGCATGGATGTAAATTATGTTTTTTTTTCAAGCAGATGTTCTGATCATATGCATGGTAGTCGCATGGCGGACCGATAGAAAATTGGCTATGTGTTCGCAGCTATAACTCGCGATCCCCTGGCTGCATTGGTGTGAACCCAGTGTTTTGACTGCGAACACGAAAAACCGTCTACCCACAATACGTATACATGTACCTCCTTCGCGGCATAATGATTACTTCACATAGATCTGTGTTCTACGGACTCTTGTTGAAGATTTAGAAAATGTCCCGAGGGAGCCTACCTCTGGGCCCCTACATCGCGAGGGCCTCTCCCCCCCCCCCCTTCAAACATTAGTGGACGCACTCGGGGGCCAGGAGGGGCGGGGTGCTGGTGTAATGAGCGCTTAATACTAGGCCATAGTAAAAAAACAACACATCCAGGTACCCGAATCTGCCGTGTGACAAAGAACATGCACATCAATTTACCGTTAAGCGTTACCAACCGTCCTGAATTTACCGTTAAGCGCTGTCGACCTCGCTGAGCTTACCGTTAACCGTTGTCAGGATCCCCCGTGTAGACCCTCATATGGGACGGTTTAGTAGCCTTCCTGAAGACTTCTTAAAGTAGCTAAAGAAACATTCCCTCATTAAAGAAGGCTTTTATCGAAGAAATATGAAGTAAGCATCATCCATTGAAGTATGCATGGTTGAAAAAATCATTTTGTAAGTAAATATTGTTAATGAAACAGCTTGTACCTTTGACAGGTGTCAATGTTGCTCTTGACAAGATGGCGTACCAAACAAGCACCAACATGACCTATGGGTTATACGCAGCCGTACCCAGCCGTGCAGTAGACGGCATCACCAGTACCGACATGCGGACTGGTTCCTGCACACACACCGAGGAGGAAAATAACCCTGCCTGGTGGGTCAATCTGGGCCAACCGTACATGATTGAAAGGTAAGGGTTTGAATGTTGCGTCAAGAAAACAGTTTTAGGTAGCATCAACTACCATTCGTCAATGACATTAGAACATTCTTAAAAAAGGAGCTTCATAATCACGAACTATTGATTGATTTTCCTATTCTGAAACAACAGGAGCTTTCTTTACTAATTTGCATCATCCTTGTCTTGACTTTGTTTCCTTTTGAACTATAAGAATGTAGTTCAATGTAGAACAAAAATTTAGTTTTTCTTACACCATTGTAATTTCTTACATGGAGAAATATTTTCTTCCATGGAGAAAATTAAGAAAAAAACAAGTAAAAATAGAAAACCACAAAGAGGTCTTATTCTCACACAAGGAACGATTTTCTTGTTTTTCTGTAGTGAAGGAAGTGTTTTAGAAAAATTCTCTTACAAAAACATTTTCTAGAAATTTAAGTGAAACTTTCATGTTTCTTCTAATATTACAGGAAAATATTCTAGCATATTCTTGTATCTTCATCAGCAGATTTAAATTTTAAGAAATACAAGAATTTTCTTCTTGACAAGGCCAATGCTTCTGCAAGTATTGATTTCTTAAAAAATCTTGTTTCTCTTATCTACGAACGCCAAGAAAAAAATTCTTGTTTGAAAACAAGAATTAATTTTTTACTTTTCTTAAAATATGACAAGTCGTAACCTGACGCAAGTATTACATTCTGGAATATTTATTGTTTTTCTGGTGGTGCTCCTTCTAGAATGAATGAATGAATGAATTGTTTATTTCGATACAAACTACACATCGTTCAAAACATACAGTAGCAGCTATTTTTAGCTGAAATGATATATGATTTACATTACATTCTTTAAAAAGAATTTCGAGATCTCATACCTCCATGAAATATGGGCTTAATATGTTAATGTAAATTTCTTCTTTAATTGTGCAAATTACCTCTGCATTAACATGATATATGCATCATGATGTATGTGAACTTTTAAATAAAGGTACAGATATACCAAGTATGACATTCCCATCATTCACCATTAAGAAATCATAGAATCTTTGCATAAAATATGCAAATTAGGTCGTCATTTGCATAATTAGTATCTGTTGATGTTCTGCCTGCCTACATTACATGTATGAAAGTAGTATAATGTAAAACACTGTAATTATAGAATTTCCTCATTAATTATGCAAATATAGTCCTCATTTGCATAATTTGCATTTGATCATGTACATCTCTCTCTCAGCTACCTACACACCAAAAATTTTGAAAATATGTTGTTCCTATCTGGACTTATTGGCTTTTAAACATTTCGCCAGAAAGTGCCCTGCATTTCCAGAAAAAGTTGCTAGGGGGACCAAACTCACACCACTTATTCCTGACAGGAAAAGCAATCTGTCAACAAAACATCAAGTCCATAGCATGTTCAGGACAAAAGATACAAAAACCGGAACTTCTGCTGCAGTACCGAGGTCATCCACCAGGAGGCCTATATTTGACCTTGACGTTTGAGTTCGAATGGCTACGTCCTTATACAAACAAGACTGAAAGTTAGTTTAACTTGGAATTCCCTGCAATTGATCACAAAATATATCTTAATTGCAGGCAACATTGCGGTAGAAACAAATACTGGGATTTAATAGCCTCATAGATGTGAGAAATGCATAGTTTGCTGTACATCCAACAGTTTTCATGGTAGGCTATCAGCACTATGCAAGAAAAAAGTCATGATTGCTTGAATCCCAGGAATTATTTTCTTTAAAATGTAGTTTAAAAAAAACGTATATTTTATTCACTGAACACGCCTAGTATATATAAAGTGCTACATAGTCCTAATCTAACGGTAACTTGTGACAAATATAGATACTTTTTACACAAGCATGAGGCTTGGAGGCTTGTTTAAGAGTCAACGTATGATAACCTCTTTCTATCATGTTTCAAAGGACAACGTTATTGTTTTTCAAATATACAGAGTAGTCATCTTCAACCGCCGGGACTGTTGTGTGGAACGAGTCAACCCTTTCAACATCCACATTGGAGATTCCAAGGAAGTCATTAGGAACCCTAAGTGTGGTGGGGATCATTGGATCGAGGTGAACAAGCCGTCCGTTTCCATCCCGTGTCAGGGGATGTGGGGACAGTACGCGGGCGTTCGTCTTCCCGGTTCCAAACGAATACTGAGCCTGTGTGAAGTCCAGGTCTTTTCAGGTAGGCATTATATCTCCTAAACATGATCATGTTATCATATTTACCTGCATGGAAAATGGAGATATTGTTTATGGTATGCGTGTGTGTGTGTGTGTGTGTGTGTGTGTGTGTGTGTGTGTGTGTGTGCGCGCGCGCGCGCGTGTGCGTGTGGATCCAGAAGAATAAATATAGAGGGCGAGAGATTAGCCTAATATGTCAAACTAAACTATCCACAGAGCCGGCTTATGCCTGTGAAGGGAACACATTACGTCTGTCCTGCCCAGCGGGAGAAACGCTGGTGATCAGTGACGCCAACTACGGTCGTACATCAACAACCCATGCCTGCCCCTGTATCACCAGGTGCCTTACCAACTGCAGTGCAGCCAACAGCCTGTCCATTGTGACCGATTCCTGTCAGGGTTTACAGCAATGCGCTGTGAATGCAAGTAACGACGTCTTTGGTGACCCATGTCCGCTTATATTGAAGTACTTGGAGACAACATACCACTGTGCACCAGGTTAGCACGGTTCTTTTTTAGCCTGGAGGCCAAAGCCTGATAGAACTGACTAATGTATACCCTCTAGAGGCTTTCTTGGACAGGAAATTGATAGATTAATCAAAATTAAGAAATAGTTTTGGCCATAAGCAGATTAAAAGACAAGGGATCGATGAATCCTGCGTTGTTGAGATGCCTATGCTGTTGAGCATAGCAACAGGGAATATTTCAACCAAGGAGGTTACTTTCTTGCTTCAGCCGAACCCGTAATGATATCGTTAGAATTGTTAATCAAATTTGTGTACCTGCCATACCTGTTGTACGGTGTAAAAGAGTAGACTGTGTTGTATATGTACATGTTTGTAACGTTTCTGTATGTTGTTGGGTTCGATTTGTATTTTTATGAAATTGTATGTTTTAATGTGTGCCCAGGAATACCTGAAAAGCAGATCAATGGATCTGAGGTATTCCCTGGTGAAATAAATAAACTTGAAACTTGAAAGACTAAGTAAGAGGTGGGAGGGGGGCGAGATCTACGGAGCTGGAAAACCTTAACAATCCAATTCATAACGTTACATTCTGTTTTTGCGTACCACACAGCACACCATGCGTCAGATATGTTTTTGCGTACCACACAGCACAGTTTACACATGGCATAAGCCAGGCTTCAAGCATTTTGTCCATACTTTTTTTAAAAATGTGTGACAGGGGCTTAACAGGCGACCACAGAGAGAGGCGACCTTTGTTTTTTTAACCAAACCGAACAGAGATTTCTCGTCCTTCCAGTCTGCACGTATCCTCTTGGGATGGAATCTGGTGCCATACCCGATGACAACATCACCGCATCCTCTACCTGGGATGTTGCTCACGAGCCCTACCGCGGTCGGTTGAACGGAGTTGCTGGTGTGGGCGCTTGGTCAGCCAGAACCAACACCATCGGGGAATGGTTACAGGTTGGAAGACATTTTGGTACATTAAACAACCACGATTCTACCTGTTACTTCCAGAATGGGGGCGTATTATTTTAGGTGTCGTATAATTTATGCTAGCGTTATATTTGCATGTTTGAGTTCCAAAGTGACTGGGTGGAGCTTGGGTTTTTAGTTTGATTGACAGGGGTATGAGTCCGTATGAACGGATGTGCAATGCATGCGATCGCCAGAAATGTATGGAAACTATGGTGTAATAGTGCAGTAAGTTCTCTCATACAATCGTATGGCTAATACTACACTCGATGATGTGTTTTTATTAACACAAACCATATCGTAAACTATATACTTTACTATATCAGAATCTCTTATTTTTTGTTTGGATTATTGCGCCACACACGATATAAAATTCGCTGTTTCTCTAAGGTGATAAAATTTGAATTCCCCTTTCCGAACAATATCCCGCGTTGATGACTTCGAATCTGTTATGTTTAAAGTGTGAATGTCAAAGCTTTGCTGTAATGACAGTATCTTACTGTGCACAATGTGGGCTAATTTTAGCCAGCAGTGCACGCTATTTAAATATATGTAGTTAGTTCCCCAGCTTGAACTTCACGTGCATTCTATAACGAAGAACATCTATGCATTCAGGTGGATTTAGGAGAAATGAAGACCGTCACAGGCACCATCATTCAGGGTCGCTATCATCATGACGACCATTGGGTGACCTCCTACAAACTACAGTGCAGTGTAGATGGCCTTAGTTGGATCACGCATGCAAGCAGCAATGGCTCCGAGGAGGTAGGTTATATGAAGTTTATTGCAAATTCATGCCAGGGGGCTAATTGCAGATTACAAACATAAAAGAACAATTAAACGTAGTATAAAATAACTAAAATCTACATGATAAAAGGTAGTTGTTTAGAGCTATAGCTCTGTCTAAAACTATGTCTATGGGGTTTGACTTTTCTTTTTTTAGACCATGAAAGACGTAATGTCCCACCTTTTCTAAAATTAGTGGGTTTTGGGAAGTTTAAAGAAGGATTTCTTTGTCTGTAAGTTTAGTAAAATTGGGATAGATTGTAGAAGTTTGAATAGTTAACTCATTTCGAGCGTTGCTATGAAAGGAACAATTTGAGATAAGGTGTATTTCGTTTTCCACAGCCTTTGCACTACAGTATTTACACATTCTTTCACATACAGGTAGCCTTTTATACCGGCCTCTCTCTATCTCCAGAGGATGGGCGCTAACTCTAATTTTGCTAATGTTATATGCACAGATATCCCATTTTTTCTAGATCAAAAAGAAGAAAAACTCCAATCAGTCATAAACCATTACGCTAAATAACCATAGCGGCTGTTACATACTAGAGTTAAGGTTTGTACTTGCCACTAATATTGTTTATCACAATAACTGTATCGGCTTTCAGCTAATATATTATGCAAAAAT